AACTTAGTTACATTTTTAATTATTTCAGAGTTAGGAGATACATGGCAAACAATTTTATTTTCTTTTATGACTTTTTTTTTCTTGGGGAGGAAGACTGGCTCTGAGCTAACATCTGTTGCCACTCTTCTTTTCGCTTGAGGAAGATTGTCACTGGACTAAGATCTGTGCCAATCTTCCTCTATTTAGTATGTGGGACGTTGCCACAGCATGGCTTGATGAGTGGTGTGCAGGTCCAGGCTTGGGATCCAAACTCGTGAACCCTGGGCCACTGAAGTGGAGTGCATGAACTTAACCACTATGCCACTGGGCCGGCCCCACTTTTATGACTTTTGAAAATACTCTAGAAATGAGGAAGGCAAATACTTGGTAACATTCTTCACCAGAGCATGACATTTCTTTTCTCTTGCCTTCCATGGCACCAGCCTCCTGGTTCTCCTTCTTCCCAGTTCTTTGTAGACCCCCTGGTGGGATCATCTCCTTCTGCTTGCCTGTTAGATGCTGGCATTTCTCAGAGTTCTGTCCTTGGGCCTTTTTCCTTCTTAGCGTATATGACATCTCCTAGGTGATCTCGTGCATTCAGTTTCCACTACATCTGTAGACCATTGACTTCATCTTCGGTACAGACCGTTCTGTCTCAGAGAACCATAGATCCCATTTCTTCTTATTGGACAGCACTGCCTGGATGAGCCACAGATAACCGTCTCGACACGCCCCAGATGGAACTCATCGCCTTGCCTCCACTCTGCTCTGCACCTTCTCAGCTCCTCCTTGTTCCCTATGGCATGAATAGCACCTGGGAATCATTCTCGAGTCCTTTCCCTCCCTCCTCACATGCCGGTTTTCACCCAGTCTCACTGTTCTGCCTCCTTTCTATCTCTCAAAGTCTTCCCCTCCTATGCCTTCATCGCAGCCTTCCTCAAGGCTAATCTGCATTATTCTAATTCCTTTCCTCACTGCTCCTCTGCCCCTCAGCTTTGCCCCCTCTCCTTCCTGAGGTGCAAGGCTGAATCCCGTTACTTCCAGCTGAAAGCCCCACAATGGCTTTCCACTCCCAAAAGACAAAACCCAGGCTCTAAGGCTTCCCCCACCTTCCTCTGCAGCTACTTGAAATCCGAGTCTCAGCCGCAATGAACTACCTGCAGCTATCCGGGCGCCCTTTGCTGTTAATCAGCTTCAATTATTCACTTTCCCTTCTCCTCCGCCCAACCTCTTACAGCTGGGTGTTAGGTCTTTGCTTTTAACGTTCTTGTCATTATGGATTGTTTCAGCAAGTGTTACATATACTTTTTAAACATTTAAAATTATTTCTTGTTTCCACATTTTCCCCACTCAATTTTTCACAAGGAACAAGCAAATCTTATTAAATTAAAATATCTAACCTTTATTAAAACACCTTATGTATAAGTAATTGCTTTCTCTTTATTTTTCCGATATGGTTCAGATGAATATAGGAATTGTAAGACTTCAAAAAAGTGATTCTTCTTTAAAGTCTATTCACATTTACAAGGCTTCCAATTTTTTGTGTAACTCACACCATCCTGAAGCAAGCTCCAGGGCTGAGGATTTACTCCCGGCTCTCCAAGAAGAGATTAGGGCATTTCTTGCCTATCACACTGAGCTGCTTCATTTCCTTCTTCTTCCTCTTTTTAAAAAAATAATCAATAGACTCTATTTCTTAGAACCGTTTTAGATCTACAGAATAACTGAGCAGATAGTACACAAGTTCCATATACCCACCACACTCCCACCCCCACGCTGCATACATAGTTTCCCTGTGATTAACATCTTTCACAGTGTGGTACATTTGTTACATTTAATGTTCCGATATCGATACATTATTATTAACTATAGCCCATAGTGTACATTCAGGCTCACACTTTGTGATGCATCATTTTATGGGTTTTGACAAATGCATATGGACGTGCATCCACCATCACGATTCACAAAGAATAGTTTCATCTGCGCTTCATTTATTCATCCTTCCTCTCCCTCCCTCCTCCTCAACCCATGGCAACCACTGATCTTTCCAATGTCACCACAGTTTTGCCCCAACATTATATTTTGAGCCAAAGATTTCACCACCTTTTTAGGCAGACCTCTTTCTGTTTTCATAAAAAGGAGAAAGAATATCTTCTTGAAATTTAAGTTATTTTGCATAGTTAGGAAATGTTCACAGATTGAACTTTTTTAGTTAGCAGTAGTTTTTTTCAAGGACCAGGTTGCATTTTGTCCTCCCATTAACCTACGATGAATACATCATTGGTCAACTAAAGCTGTAGGAGGAAGAAAGACCCTGGGCGATAAATGGGGTCCAGATAGACCCAGAAATACCCACGAGGGAAATTGACTTCTCTTGTCAATCACCAAATTGCAACCAGCAGTCACGTGGACAGCTTGGTAAGAGGTTATCAATTTTTTACATATGACAATGATAAGATAATCTGATATACAAATTAGGCTATTGCAATGGTCAGTATTATCATTTTCTGCGTTTTCCATCCAGAAAAACCCCAGTTGTGAGAGTTCAGATGGCAGACCTCAGTACTGCTCATTTTCAAATAGACACCCTAACAACCCGTTTCTAGACGCCACTCCCATTTAAACATGATAGTGCTGATACTAAGAATGGAGTGCATACTTAACACTCTTGGTTTTGAAGTAAACAAATACCAGTTTGACCCAGTAGCTAGAAGCTGGGTGCATGACTCTGAGTGCTACCGTGCACAATTCCCAGGCAAGAAGCCATGACCTTCGTTTGACCACATTATACAGCCATTTGTTGGAAAATGACTTTCCATTGTAGAAAGATCAGAAGTCCACATGGAACAAGATCAAAGTTAAAAGAGAAATTCTTGTATAACTGATGAAAGCTAGATATTTTGTCCAAGCCTCACTTTTACGGGAAATAAAAAGGGGAACCCCTGTTAGAAGCAGAGTGAATGGCATGACCGATGGAAGAACTTCACAAAATTAATACTTTGATAGTGCTTTATAGTTTCTAAGTGGCTTTTCTCATATCTAGTCTGACATAACTTATCATTATCAGATGTGTCATTAATATAGCAGTGTTTTAAGACATTGAAAATCTGCTACTGAGAGCAACAGATTAGTGATCAGAGATGATCCTTAGTGACAGTATAACGGTTTTCCTCTTCCTCTTTGTTTTAGCACGATGCTTGAAGCCCTATTCTTTGAGCTGAAAGTATGGTTTGCTATTCCAAAACTATTTTAGTCCCAGCAGAGATGGAGTTTGCACGTGCATTTTATATAAGTAGGGCCGACTCACATTAGGGGGAAATAAAGCCTATGATTCATAATAAGAAATTGCTGCCTTTGAAATCACTTCCTACCGTAATACTGGCCACTTCATTACAGTGGTAATTAGAAAGAAAAAAACCCAGAAACAGCCATTTGAGAGGGAAATTAGTACTTAATTTCCAAGACTGTTTTAGTTTAATGGACGCAACACTGGCAAGATTTCATACTTAAATTGCAAACCAAAGAATGATAAGGCTAATGTTTTAGACCTGTCTTCTAAATGGAAAACACTTAATGCAGCCTGTGATGAAACAGTGTCTCCTGACTGAATACATCCCTTAAAGTCAAATATACTGTCTGTGAAGAAGAGTTTAAAAAATAAATACATATATGTAGGTGAATATGGGTGTGTTTGTTCCAACCATTTAATCAGTTGCTACTGTCATTAAGCAAAGAACAACTGTTTCAGCATGTACCTTTAGCTTGCTAAAGATACTGCAATAAAGAGAAGGCACTGTTAAAAGAAACTCTCATATTTTATCAAAAATATCTGACGCAGTCCAAAAAGAAGCAATGAATATTCTGCGGGAAGACGAAAACAAGACTTAAGACAAAGAAATAAGTGTAGGTTGGTCCAAGATGCCCCACTTTTTAGAGAGGTTCTGAGTCATCCTCTGAAGACCATGTTTTCTGTTTTCCCATTTCCTCTTGTAGAACACTGTTTCATTCTGGAATGTAATACTCATATAGAAAACTGCATCAAATAAAATTATACAGCCCAGTGATTTATCTCAAAGGGCACACCAGCATAATCACCACACTGGGCAACAGAATATTGCCAAGCACCATACAAACCCCCTTCTGCCATTCCTCCTCCCTCCCTTGCCCCAAATGCAATTTTCTTTTATGTTATCACTTCTCTGCTTTTCTTGACAATTTTACCATCAAAACATGCATCCCTAAACATTATAGTTTTGCTTTGCCCCCTTTTTTTTTTAACTTTGCATAAGTGGACTCATACAGTTTCTATTCTTTTGTGTCTGTGTTCTTTCATGCAATATTACGAATGGGAAATTTACTCTTGCTGCTATGAGTAGCAACTGAGTCTTTCATATTCACTGTATTATATGCATACACTATATATTTTTTTAACCCATTCTACTGGAGGTGGCTACTGTATCTAGGTGGCTTTCAGTTTTGCTTTTATGAATGGTGCTACTCTGAATATTCTTCTGTCTTTTTATATATATGTGCACATTTTTCTGTTGTATGTGCCTATGAGTGGAATTTCTGGGTCATCACACATGCATATATTCAAATTTGGTAAATAATGCCAAATAGCTTAGAGTGTCTGTTTTCAACCGTCATTTCTACCAGTGGTACATGATAATTCCTCCTTCTCTGCAGGGTTGTCAACATCTAGTAGTTACAATCTCTTTAATTTTAGCCTTTCTGCTAAGTTTGTAGTAGATTTTTAGTTAGGGTTAGATATGTATTTCCCTGATGATTAATGGAGTTGAGCACCTTTTCATGTTTATGGCCATTTGGTTATCCCCTTTTGTAAAATGCCTCAAGTCTCTTCCCAATTTTTGTATTGGGCTGTCCTTTTTCTTACTGATTGTAGCTGTTCTTTGCATATTCTAGATACAAGCTCTTTTCTGGTTATATGTGTGGTAATTTCTTTTTTCATTCTGCAGCTTGCATTTTTACTTTCTTAGTGACATCTTTGTAATGAATAGGACTTTTTAGTTTTTAAATTTTATTTTGAATTAACTTCACATTTACTGAAGAGTGGAAAAGAGTGCAGAGAACATCCATATACACTTTATCAGCTTCCCCTAGTATTAACATATTTATCAAACATTTATCCAACTCAGAAATTAACATTGGTATGATACTATTAACTAAACTACACAGTTTATTCAGGTTTCACCAGTTTTTCCACTATCGTCCTTTTTCTCTTTTAGGATCCAATCTAGGATACTATGATGCATTTAGTTGTCCTCTCTCCTTAGTCTCCTTCAATCTGTGGCAATTTCTCAGTCTTTTATTGTTTTTCACAAGCTTGAAACATTTGTAAAGGACTGGTCAGGTATCTTGTAGAATGAACCCCAAAAGTTATCATAGAATTCTTCCTTTCTCTTGTGCCCCCATATTAATCACCTTCTAAATATTGCTAATATTGGTTCCAGCCTCTCCAGCCCCGACTGCGTGCTTATTTAGGGCCTCATTTCTTTCTTGGACTTGCTTAAATACTACCTCTTGCAAAAGTCTTTCTGAATAGTTGTATTACACTTTATATGTAACCACAGTATTAGAAATTATTGCACCATCACTCTATGCCTGCCTCTCTCCTCACTGTGAGATCATTGAGCGAAGGGGCTTTGGCATTTATATGTACCCTAATACATGTTCTAAGAGCCTTGTAAATTGCTCAACACGTTTGTTGAATGGATAAAGCAATGTGACATTTGGGTCAATGGATGTCATCAGGAAAAATCAAACAAAAAAGAAAGCTTACTATTTTCCCATTACTTATTACAATTGCTGGTAATTTATACTTTTCTGCAGAGGGGTCACATGGGTCCATGGCTTGTTATTTACTAACCTTTCTGAAAAGCCAGTTAGTTCAGATGGGACTATTAATTTGAGTGGACCTGTGTCAATGTCACTTTAAGATAGAGCTGAACCATTTATGATCATCTCTGCTCTCCAGAAAAGTCTGTGTTCATGCAGTTATAATGAAGCCTTCTGACATTATAGCCACCTCATTTGAATAGTCATGTCTATTTGGAAGATAACAGTCAAATCATAATACTGTTGAATTTGTATGCTTAGAAAAGCTTAGCATCAGGCAATTTGAGTTTTGAATATTAAAATTTCAATTTATACACCACTTAACAAAACTATCATAAGAAAGAAAATTCTGTGAAGTGGGGGTGTTTTTAATCATCCCTTTTTCAATATAGTGGATTAAGTATAGTAAAGTCAAGCAATTTATGCTAAATCTCATCATATTACAATAATTCAGGAGTACTGATTGCTAATTCTAGATTCTCCCTTCTTATGGTGGCAACAATGTTTCCAGCTAACAAAGAAGAATCACAAAATCATTAAGTATAACTTCTGATGCGGCTCTTACATGTCATATTTTTAAAATTCCCGTTGTTAATTATCTTTAATCCCTTCACCAGCTTTTGGTTTAGTTCCACCTGGATCTCTTGCTGTGGGAGACAAATGGACCTTGCAGTTCACACCTTTGCAAGTCAGATTCCATTTGGTTCTCTGCCAACATTGAAGCCTACATTCTCTATTTTTTCCCCTTGTGAATAAGCTTCTGCTATATGTTCTATCTCCAGTGATGTCTTCTTGGCCTTGACCACACTTGCCTCGGCTCCTTGCTCAGCACTTCTATTGAAACTCAGATCTTGACCAGTCCTTTGATTCTGTCTCCCACCCCAGTTGCCCATAAGACCTCTCCCTAAGGTTGAGTCCCATTACCTGATGGTAAAATACTCTAAGGGCCTACCTGCAAAATGGGCTGTCTCACTCATGCAGAGGAGGATTTAGCTGATCAGGGACAGCAGGCAGAAAATCACTGCTTCTTTCATCACTGTATGTGAATCCTTCCTAAAGCCTGGTTGAGGAGGCCAGTCTCCCGAGATGGGTTAATAGGCACACCAGCAAGATTGTCAAAGCGAGGACACAAACAGTGGCGAGGATGCCAGTGCTCACCTGGTGGTGTGCTGGCTGGAAAGGTGGAGGTTAAGGAATGGCGGGTTATCAGACAGGCATTAGGATCCAGAGTCAGAGCACCTGGCTTCAGGGCTGCTCTGCTGCTCGCTGCACATGAACCTTATTTTCCTGAGGCCTGTTCCCATGTGTGCACAACAGAAATGATTTCTGCCTTGCCTATTTCACAGGGTTTTGTATAAGTGATGCTTTCTGCACTGTGCACTAGACAACAGCAGAAGTGGGAAATCTTACAAGGTACCATCTCAAATAATCAAAACTTTAAAGTGAAGTAAAGTTTTCCAATCTCAAAGAATTATACATATGTATTAAAAACAGTCTCATCTAACTAAGCATCATAGGAAATTTAAGTTTATTGTAATGACTGAAATCTATTTTATATTTCCATTACTTACTTTTCCTTACAAAAGACTTGAAACCTATTCTTGAATTGTTAAACATTCTGAATCTTACTGCTTAAACTTGAATTTTTACCAATTTAAATTGGTAAATGCACTAGTATTTTAAAAATAAATTGAATCGAAATAGCAGCCGGCAAGCTCTTATATGGATTGGAATGTTAAATCAGAGACTCACTAGTGTAAATCACTAAGATGAAAATTGAGAGAAGTTCCCTTTTCATTAGTCTTGGCTCCCATCAAGATGGTGAACTAGCACAGGCTGCCGGCTTCTTTCCAAAACAAACTTGGAGAAACTATGGAAGAGAGAGAGAGAGAGACAGAGAGAAAGAGGGGGCAGACAGACTGACGTGGATTCTAGGGGGAAAAAAGATACCAAAAAATGAGCTGTCCTGGGGAGACTGAGGCTGTGTTAACTTTGGAGTATGGACAGAAGCAGAGGAGGGAGCATGGTTTGGAGGGAGCACGGTTTGGAGGGAGCATGGTCTAGGAAGGAGCGCAGTGTAGACGGCAGTGAGAGGGCTGCTGGGAAAGAGGCCATGCCAAGGCGTATAACAACTGTAAAAGAAAGACGACTACAAATGTCTACCATCAGAATCATTAGAATAGCATACCCAGGAATTTAAAATAACCATGATAAATATATGGAAATAAGGTAAAATACTGGTAACATAAAACAAAGTCAAGAAATCATTAGAAAAATCAAGTGGAAATATTATGAAAATAGTTGGAATATAAAAAAACAAAACACTAAGAATAGGGCAAATAGCAGGTTACTAGATGAAGAACAAATAAATGTTGAATGTTCACACTGAGAAACTCTCCCAGAAGCAGCAAGAAAGATAAAGAGACAGAAACCATGAAAGAACAACTCAGGGATACGTGAGATGAAAGTAGAAGTGCCAACATCAGCAGGAGTCCCAGAAGGGGAGGAAAAAAAGAATAATCAAACTATTAGAGCTTCTCAGAAACTTTGTAAACAGATAAGCCCTCAGAATTGAGAGAGACAACAGTGCCCATTGGTACCAGTCCCGTACCTGCAGACCAGGTACATGACCTTCCCCACGTCAGTCAACGTGCTGTGATGCTCCCCTGGTTCCTCGCCGTCTAAGGACAGACATCTGTATGACTTGAACTGGCTGCGGTCATGCTCTGTAGGCATTTCACAGTAACTTCCTCCCAGCCCTACCCTACCCTATCCATTAGATCAAAGCTTCTCAAGAGCAGACATTTCATTTGACTCCTTTGATGTAATGACAGGTATCCCAACATCAAAACAGTCCTGAGATTTCATGATTTGTGTCGCTTAGCACGGATTTTTCAGACTAACACAAGGTCAATTAAAATGTAGTTTAAAACTGGAGAAAAGATGATTACTGCCTTTACACATCTTCTCTGGGTATATATACAAAAGACATCCTACACAATTAAAATTCAGACAAACATTAATGAACTTTTCAGAAAGTATAAAAAAATCCATTCCCAAATGCTAATATTCTGTTGAGTGAAAAATGAAACAAGATATATACTTGAATTGATCTGTTTCTTATTCCTTGTGTTATAACTGGCATTAGGAGAAACAACTGGGAGGGGAGTCCTGCAAGGAAATCTCTGATAATCAGACTCCAAGGTCTCATGTCTATCACTACCTATCGTGAATAATTATCCACATTTTACTTATTTCATCTACATAATCTTATCAATTGTGTTAAACTGATTAAGATGGCCTAATTATGTTTTAGAAATTCGGGGGTATCCTAGGATTAAGATATTTAATAACACACGTTTTGTGATTAAAGTCTCGGAATTCCGTCAGGGTGAAGTCCTACTTCCTGAAGCCTCGGGAAGACAGCTCATTCTGCAGGAGCAGCAAATTACTGAAGCGAACTTTTTCTTCACAATGTCACCATGAAATAGCATAAAAAGTATTCTAACCACAGGCCATGAAATTAAATCAACAGACCATGACTGGTAGGAAATTATGGGTTTATCTTACTTTCGTGAAGATTTAAAAAAAAGTAACATTTATGGAGAAAGTAATGAATATTAAATTTTTCACACACCTATAATGATGAAAAAACTCTTTTCACTATGCCAGCAATTCTGCCACATGGTAAGATTTCTGTTCAGTTTGAACAAAGGGACTCTGAGAGACGTTAAACTGGGTCAGGCCACACAGAATGGGAAGTCTGAAAAGCAAATGGAAGGAAATTAGGTGAAAATTATTCAAATAATTTAAGATGTCCTGATATTGAAAACATCTGGAGTTTGTACTCTAAGACCTCAACAACTCAAGTGTGGCCTGTGGACCAGCAGTATCAGCATCTTGTTGGAGCAAAAACCTCAGGCCCCAAGCCAATCCTACTGAATTAATGTCTTTTTTAAGATCCTTCGGTGATTCATATGCACATTAAAGTTTTAGAAGCACTCCCACCGTGGGGAATTATTTTGAAAACTTAGGGCTAAAAAGATACCCTATGACTGGAAGGAAACCAACATAGTTTATGCATTTTTATGTAGAGATCATAGCACACCATCTATAGAATGGGTGTCCTTAAGGGCAAGGGTTGTATTTGATTCTTTCTTGCATCCTCAGCATCTAGCATAACGCCTGGCACATATTTGGGCCAGTGAGGATGGATGAATAAATGATTCTGAAGTAAAAACTGTCAAGTCAGTGATGCTACACTACCTATTAAAAAGGTTAAGATGGCTGACTCCAGGGGCAAGTACAAGGACATTCAATAAGGACACATGAAAAGCAAAATAAGGGAAAATATGAAACACATAATAGGAAAAATGTCATGGAAGGAAGCACACAACAAAGCTTTTGAGCATCAATATGCAGAAACTGATAATTTGAAACTGTGTAAAGAGCAAATGTGATATTGCAATGCATAAATATTTTCATTATGCTAAGCCATATTATTGGTGTATCATCCTGATAACATTTTACTAGAATTCTGTGCTCTTTGACAAAGAATCTAGAATGTAAAGTAGGTTTAAGATAAAAATCACTTGAGAAAACTAAGGGAGTTAGATAACAGTCCAGAGAATGCTAAAAGTTATTTAAAAACATTTGTTGAGCATAAAGCCTGCAGTGTGATTCTAAGTACCTGGAATCAGGTCTAGTTTCACAGGTGATGGGAACAATCTCCAGGAAGATTGCCCTCACTTCAGACGCCAGCTGCAAGCTCTGAGCTTCCCAGGTGGCTCGCACTTGTTACCAACTGGCTACAAATTCGGGGGTTCCCACTATCCCCTCAGGTTCAACAGTGTGCTAGAACAACTCACAGAACTCAGGGCAGCCCCACAGGTTCCATTCCAGTTTTATTATACAGGATACAGACCGGGAGCAGACAAAAGACCTGTGGGGCAAGGTCCAGGAGGATTACAACATGAAGCTGCCACGTCTGCAGAACACATCACCCTCCAGCCACACCAATGTCTACCTCCAACCAGGGAAGCTCTCCCAAGCCTTGCTGTCCAGGATTTTTACTGGGGTTTCGCTATGCAGCCATGATTGACTGAATCATTGGCTACACAGTTGAACTTCTTCTCCATACCTTTTCCCCGGAGGCTGAACTGATATGTCACTCAAAACCCCAACCTGATAGTCACATGGCTGGTCTTTCCAGCATGGTCAGCCCTGACCCTGGAACTATCTAGGGGCCACCATGAAAAACAAGGACATTCCTATCACTTGGGAAATCGCAAGAATTAGAAGCTACCCATCAAGAAACCAGAACAAAAGCTGCCCAAATTCTTTATTATATAACATGGGCTTACTGAGGATTCTGGCTAGGCTGGCTTACCTCTAGGTCAAGTCTTAATACAGTGATCCACAGGAGTTGGCCAGATTCTTCTGCTGTTATGTTATTTTGCTGTACTGAATATCATGCCAGAAAAGGGGACATAATAAGACAGAATTCAGAATATCAATTATCCAATATCTTTTTCATCTAATGATATTCTTTGATTAGTCTTGTATGGCACAGATATATACTGGGTGCCTACTGTGTGACAGACACCTAATGTGAACACAGCTGAACAACTGATATTTACATTGCTTAAAAGAAATACATCTATCTGCATTTAACTAATGTTCCAATCAAATTATCCTTGCCTATTCATTTAAGTATGTCCCACAAATTCTTTACTTAGGAACACTTTATCACTCATTATGTTACTCTGTTCATAGTGGGGTCCAATGGATAGAAAATATGCCTCGGAGGATGACAGAACTGGGTTTGAAATCCAGTCCTGTACCATACTAGTTATGTGATTATGAGCTAGTAAGTACTTACCCTGGTTCTCAACTTCTGTATTTGCAAAACTGTGAATAAGAATAATCACGTCTACTTAGAGAGGCAGCTCAGTGGTTAAGAGCATGACTCTGGAACCAGACTGCTTGGCAGATGGCTCTGGCTCTTTCTCGAAGGTGCAATGTCCCTTAATCCCTCTGGCCACAGCTTCCTCATCTGTAAAATGAGGATAATAATACCCTCATAGAGATGTTGTGAGGATTAAATAAGTTATTGTGTATAAAGCACTTATAATAGTGCCTGGCACCTAACAAGCAGTTATATATTACTGATTGCAATTATTATTTTTAATTCCATTTTTATTTATGACTTATTTTGGTTGTTGGGATGACGAGATAATATTCATGAAAGAAGATCATATTATAAAATCTGGCACAAAGTACACATTCAAATGTTGACTTCCTTTACTAGGAATTATCCTATATTTTAGACTCTTCATTAAGAATACTCCATGGATACAAATAAGTGAGATGAAGTTTACCTCCATCTGATGGCAAGTAAAAAAAGGTAATGGAGTACAAAGGGTTATTTAGGCTGGCAAAAGGATTTTTAAACAGTGCTAAAATGTTTAAAATTGGGGGGTAGGATAAGGAGTTTGTAACAGACAGACAGAGGTAAGAAATTAGAACAGTGTGGGGGTAAAGGTAAAAGGATGCCTCGATAAGTTAAATTATTATATTTTATCAAGGATTTGGGAAAACTGACTTTTTTTTAAAAGCACAAGTCCTTGTTGTCTTAGAGTTTAAGGCAGCATAATAAAGTACAAATTGAGATTCCTTTCATTTTAAAATATGAAGACTTAAAAATGATTATTACCATTTGGGGGAAAAAACCCCATGGTATTTTAACATATGACAAATGAAAACCAGTCAGAACTCCTTATGCCAGATCCTTAAATTACCATGGGCTCTGCTGTCCCCACACAGGCACATAACAGGTGAAAGTCATCAGAGTACAACTGAATTTTAAGAAAGAGATTAAGTATCCCAAGTAAACTATACTCACAAAATGTAAGTGTTCTCACTGACAGCATAGATACTAAGCTGTTCTAACCAACGTTACTTACACTGAAAATAAAGATTAACAGGATTTTTTAATACAGTGGACGCAATGTCAAAACTTACTGCTAAAAAATATAGGCCAAAACAAAACTGTGCAAGCAACATATGGTACAAATTTTCTAAATTTACTTGTGTTTCTTAAATTTATCCTATTTCATCTTCAAGCTGCCAAATTAAATTTCACTTTTATGAGAAAAATTGACAATTTTATGATTATTTTACAGTAATTTAAAACATCAATGATCTTCCCTTCAATTAAAAAATCCAAATCATTCAAACTTTGAGCACTTTGATGAACAGCAGCAAATTCTTCCTGTGCCGCATGCTCGCAGGACGCAGGGGGACGGCTCCTCCCGCTCTACCGCCTGTAGCCCACAGACGACTGAGGGCAGGTTTGCTCTAAAGCATACTTTTAAACGATCAGAGAAAAGCTTCAGTTTTAAAATTTATGTAAAGCCTTACTCCAACCTTCACCGCCCTCTTCACAACAAAAGTCTGTCAACACATTCTTAAAAAAGGAAAATCACAGAATAATTTTATTTATAATGAAGTGATTCTCTCCTGACTTTAAATCATCAGTTCATTCTTACAACAGAGAATCAATTTAAATATCGCCACCAAAATGGAAGGAAGACAAAACAAGCTGCTGTTACATATCAGTGTCTTTGATATGTCATAACGATACCCAATTAGTCTTGCAACATGGTCCATTTCCAGTGAAATTCTCAATCAACTGCTAAGAACTACAGTCCTTCATATTGACATTTTATTCTAAGGTGTGCCAGATGCGGCTCTCCTGATCACTTCAGCAGTCAGTCAGTGTTCTGAAGAAAAGGGCCGACGTCCTCCGTAATCCAGCCCAAATGGATGGCGTGCTTTCAGAGCCTTTAGTTTTTATAATAATCCCTCTGGAAAGTTAATTAGTTGATGATTTTTTCCTTAGAAGTCTACCTTAAATAGGACAAATCACGTACTATACGGTTTGTGCCAACGTCCTTGACGTTCTTGTTTCCACCATTTTGTTTATCAGATCATAGAGTGACGGTAGTCTTATTTTATCCATATTTTTGCTGTAAACATTGAGAAATATACCAAGAACAACTAAAAAGCCAGACCATACATACCTAAGAGAAAGAAATAAGAAAAAAAGGTTAATATCAAGGTAACAGCTTACTGTTAACCACAGAAGTTGGTGATGAGTCTGCAATAAAATAAAATTTTGCTATTGGAGGCCTACAATAATAGCATTAAAATAAAAATAGTATTTTTAGATCAGATTAGAAAGAATTCCACATCTGTTATGTTAGTTACACATAGAGAGAGGATATTTTACAAAATAACGCAGTTCATTTGAATTTTGAGGATAACAGCAAATTGGAAGTTCGACTCCTACCAAAGTTTTAAGAGTATTTTTAAAGTTCTGGATGCATCAACCTGCTAATGGTCACCTTGGGAAAACAATGTAGCAGCTGAACTAGTTATCCCAGTTGGGTAGAATATAAAGAGAAAGAGGGGGACCTGGAGAAAGACAGGGAATTAGCATCGATTACTAGAACGTATACCTAGCACACGCAGAAAGAGAAACTAATTTATAGAAAACAAACAATACATTGAAGGAAATTTATTTTGTGGGTACCTTTAAGCTTACATGTCAATAATTTCTAGGTTTGAGTCTTCTCAATTACTAACCAACATAAGTTTAAATGATGCTAATTTCAAACATAGACACTAGACAGTAAACACTAGACAGTAAAGAAAACAGTAAATGCTTTCACAAGAAGCCACAAACTAAACAAATCATTAGGGCACAACTTACAGAATACTTCTCTACCTCAAATCCTTTGTGGGAAAAGGCAGACAATAAAGCAACAATTTTAAAAACCGTGTGTGTGTATATATATATATATATATATATATGTATATAATATATATACTTGCATTAGGGCAAGGGGGAACCCCTTCATCTCACGCACACTCATACTCTATATTGGAAACAGGGTCACACCTGCACTGGGACTCTGGTTAGCAATTTAAGTGTGCAAAACGATTTCTTCAAAATAATTACATACATTTCTACAACAGCTGAAAATACATCAATAAATTAGGGGTCAAGATGAAAAAGATTCTTTATAAAGAAACTAAGGCTGTTTAAGAGCAAATGTGAAACAAAGTATCTAAAAGTGGAAAAACTTGTGAATTAAAAAGTACTTACTGAAATGTGAATGGTTTAGCAAAGAATATGAATGAAAGTACGATGGTCATTGCTTTTCTTCCTGTTGTCACTGTAGGGAGAAAAAGCTTGGTTTAGAATGAGCCTACCATCCTGGTGATACTTTGGAAATCATACAAATATTTACAGAGCCTACTATGTGCAGGATCTGTGTTAGGAGCCAAGGAAACAACGGGAAACAAAATTAAAGAGCCACTGTTCCCACTTCTGTGGAGTCTACAGTCCAGCAGGGGTACAGACATTAAAGGATGCTGCTAACGGTTAAAGTACAACTGTCATAGGGACTTGGTGGAGGCCGTGACACTGCGGAAGTGTGCCATCCTTTGGAGAGACTGACTTAGTTTGGCAGGAAAGAAAGGCTTTCCCAAGGAATCATGATTAGGTAGAGCAGAGGTCATTCTCTACAAGTAGTCATGTTAAAGACATACTAGTATCTTAATAGCATTCATCTCTTGATAAGACTATAAGTAATCTTAACAATCCTCTTTACATGTCTGCATTAACTTGTGCTTGTCCTTCAAGTATTACCTTGAAGTCTGCGTTAAGGCTTGAAACCTTCCTTCTCTGTCGCACCCAGTCAGAGACAGGAACTCTGCACTGATCTCCATTATAGCCTCTCCCCCAACTTTGCATTATCAGTTGCTATCTTCCCACCTAACTGTGTGCTTTACTTGGCTCCTTATCTTATTCATCCTTATATGTCTTATACATCCACATATACATGTGACATAGTTCCTGGTAATTAATATTCAATGCATGAATTAATGAATACCAAATGAAAAAACTCTTTTGGAAACGTGTTAGAGCCCCATTCCAAAAATCTATTTTTCCTTCTACTTAGTAAAAGGATGCCTATTTTTAACTGAGCATACCTTCCAGCCTCTCCTACAGCGAGGTGTGGTCCTGTGACTAGGTTTTGGCTAATGAAATGTGAGCAGAAGTGCTGTTTCTAGGAGGTTGATTTCCAGGAAGTTTCCATAAAGAAAAAGGTGTGTCTTTCATCTTCTCTCCATCCCGCTGCCTGGAATGAGGATGAAGATGGCAGGGCAGACAGAGGTGCCTGGGTTCCTAACAAGCATGGGGCCACCACACCAGCTCAGGTGGCAGTATGCATATGGGTCAAGAGCACAGGTATGGAGCCAGACTGCCTCAGTTGGAATACTGACTCTGCAACTTACTAGTTGGTGGACTATTGGGCAAGTCACTTAATCTCCCTGTGTCTTAGTTTACCCTTTTGTAAAATGGAACAATAACAGAGCCTACTTTATAGGATTATTGCAAGATTAAAACGAATAATATGTGCAAAATACCTAAAGTGGCACCTGGTACATAATAAGGGCTATGTACATGTCAGCTATTACTATTACCACCTCTGGATTTCTTTTACGTGAGAGAGAAATAAACCTGCCCACACCTCAAGCCAAGGACTGCATCTCACGCTTCTTTATACCAACCAAAGGGCTCAAGTGATACACACCAAGTGATATCAGACCCCCTTTTTGAACACTTATCTTACAAGCAAAGTTAGAACCCAAGGTAAGTATATGAATTTGCAATCTTTCTTGATAGTATGAGAGGACCGGACATAACTTAGTGATATGGCCTGACGTACATTTAAATTCCCTCTACTTACCATTAGGGACACAAACTTTTAAACGGAGAGTCACATGTTAGCAAACAAGGAGAAAAATTAGGAAGCAAATATACTTTTACAAAGAGAGAGGTATTTACTAATTTGTTTAATTTACTCTGTGGAATTAAAATAAGTATTCCCCTAAAACCATGAAAAATTAAAATCATGTAAAATACTAATGTATATATGCACTATGGATATAAATTCTACATATCTCTGATAGAGGTGATCAAGTGAAACTCAGCCCCTTCGCAAGATGGAGAGATGAGGCCCAGAGGAGACCTACTCCCCAGGTCACACATCACTAAACATCAGAGCTGGGACTGGGCTCTGCCTTCTCTGGCGAGCCAATCCGGCACTCTTCATGACAGGCTATAAGGCTTCCGACCCCGGCTTCAGCACTCTCTCCATCTGGGAGACGCTGAGAGCGTCTGTCATGTGTACCGTTCCTTTGGCAAATGATATGAGGTAGCACACTGAGTCACCTGTTCCCCTCGCCAGATCTCCCCTGCAGCCCCTCATCTGTCCCTCTCCCTCCTCCAAAGCAGGACAAATACAACACCCATTCCTCTAAAGTGGCAGGCAAAGTCTCCGCCCAGAGCAGGCGCATAATAACTACTAGCGAAAAGAGAGGCTAATGTGGTTGACGTCCTAGAAAGGATACAAATGAAAGGTCCCAAAGGCTTTGTTTAAGATACACCTGCCATACTTTAAGTGCAACAAAACTGGAAGTTTTAGTTATAAATTACAAGTGTACAAAGGCAGTAGTTTTCTCTGAAGGCATTCAGCCCATCAGACTTTTTAATAAAAAGTTCTTTTAATGTATTTAAAAGTTACTAGTTAGATACATGTATATATCTGACTTTAAAATTACACCTTTAAATAAGAAATTAAGATCAAACATTATTTTCTTTAGAATTTTAAAGAAATACCAAGGAAAGATATGGGCTTTTAAAGAAAGCTAAGGAATAAATTGGTGAAATATGACAATTTTCTTTTTAATGAAGAGTAGATATTGCCCTTATCTGTTGGAAAAGAGCATCAGAGAAAATTTAAGCGCTTATTTCATAATCCAAGCAAGTACATCATTCCTACCTGTTACAGCAACAAGTGCACCAAAAATTTTAATCAAAGCCAGAACAAAGGAGATTCCAAAATAGCCAGTGAGGGAAAAAAGGAAAGCATAACCGTAGGTCTGAATTGGATTCTGCAACACATAAAGAAAGCCTGTTAGGAAAATGCAAAACAAACCCTGAGGTGTTACAAATGAAATAAAGCTACAGATTTTAATCAACTTTCTGAGCAATAATAAGCCATTCAACAATGCAGTCAAGCAAAGATTCTTATTTAGCTCTGATTTAATGGAAAAACAATGATGAAATTAAAAATTCCCAACTTCTACATTATGAACAGCTTAAAAATGAACTTACAGGGTAGAGCAAGGATAAATTTAAATATAAATCATTTCATTTCTGATCTGCATATATTATGTTAAAGGAGTTATCACATTACATATAAAATAGTCTTTTTGAACAAGAGGAATTAGAAATATACATGAAATTATTTAATGGCAGATGTTTACTTTAAAAAACGTGATCAGTGTTTACCTTTGAACAGAATGTGACCGCAGGGCCTAGTCCACTAGTGCATGTCAATCCCAGTAAAATGTACACAAAACCGATCGAGTACGAATACAAAACCTAGAATAGAGAAAAATGCAGGGGAAAAAAGCGCTATCAAACTAAAGGCAGAAAATGAAGGCTTTTTGATATATGGCTCAATTAATCAATTAAATTTGTAAAATGAAACATTTTTAAAGTAATAGCATTGTTTCAATACAGCTTAACTTTCTGGAAATGATGGTTGACCCTAACTGCTTATAAGTCAACGCCTGGTTTTAAGTACAACATAACACAGTGGCACTCATCTTTTTGTATATGGATACATCATCATTCATTTTGCCTAGCTTAATTAGTGACTTCAAACCAGATTTTAATGTTGGGGTTCTAAAAACATACATAAGCAGAACAAAAAAACCTTAAAGCTACTTATTAAACATCAAAAAACCCAAATATTGTTTGCAAGACATTAAAATATGGTGAAAATAAGCAGTAAATGGCATATCTATTGCTTGGTTTCCCAATTTTCCAGCAATCTTTCTAACCCAGGTTATTATACTCATCAGTAGAATCAGCATCAAAATTAAATACGTGCTATGTGTCAGGTACTGTGCTAATAATGCTCTATATGGATTATCTCATTTATTTCTCACAACCAAGCTATGAGATAGGTACTCTCATCATCATCCTCCAATTTTCACGTGAAGAAACTAAAACTTAGAGATATTAAGTAATTTTCCCCAGATAAGAGAACTAGTAAAGCTGGGATATGAACTGAAACTATCGAAGGCCAGAGCCTACGGTCTTAACCACCGTAGCACATTAACTTTCTAACTACCTACACTTCCTTAATTCTCTGATCTTTACCTTACTAGGAAAAGTAGTGATGATGATCAAGAAAATCCTGACCAAGATTCAAGTTCCTATGTTCCTAGGGACTCCTTAAAGATGCCCCACTCTGCTGACAAAGCAACAGGAAAGACCAGTCCCACAGATCCTTAATGCAGCATGCCCTGTCTGTCCAGCAAGGTGGTTGGCTACACAATTAATGTAAACAAACACACAATAACTATCTTGTACAAAAACATCAACCGGTTAGAAGACATAGTGGAAGAAAAGGCATTGTTTGCAGTAACAATGGCAAAAAGATGAAACACTGAATAACTTCAATAAGAGATATGCTGGATTTATAAGAAGAAAACTTTAAAATCCAAGGGACATTAAAAAGAAAAACACTCAAATAAAAGGAAAGTCATACCTTATTCTTGGACTGAAAGAATCAACTGTATAGATGCCATTCTCCCTAAATTAATTTATAATTCAATGCCATACCAACCACAATACCAATGGGATTTCTAGTTTATTTGGAATATGAACACCCAAGAATAACTATTGGTAGTAATATTCTGAAAAACAAAAGGAACAATGGCGGCTAGTCCTAACAGACGGTAAATGTCTGAGAAAGCTGCAGTCATCACATGGTTCTGGTGCAGAAATAAATGCAAAAGAATACAATTCTGAACCCTACGTTAGAATATGGTATGATAAAGAAGGCACCTAAAATAAGCTGGGAAAGTGGATTATTCAATAAATGATAGTGAATAGGAATAAGGAAGAAAATTTTTAAAAAGTTTTGGTTGAATCAAAGATTTGATAAAAAAGGAAGTCATAAGAGTAGTAGTCAACATGGGTAAAATTCTTAAATCTTACAGAGCTGGGAAAGCCCTTTTCAGTCATAGTACATAGCCAGAAGCCAGGAAGGAAAACATAAACTGGACCACATAAAAGTTACAAACTTCTAAACGGAAATAATTATACAATAAGCAGGGGCAGTGGTATTTTCCCTCTTACCTTCCTTTAATGTTTGAATGTATTACTTTATGAAAGTGATGATGATAAACTAGTTTAATAATACAATGGATGTCTTTAACACCATAACTACTTCATAAAACTAAGTATATCACCATTTTTGAGTCTGTCCGGCATGAAGAAAAAGCACTCGAGTATTTACCATTTCTGAATTCGAAGCATTATGCAGCTTCATAGCTTTCTCTTGAACATTTCCAATGACAGCGTCCGCACACAGGGCCAGGGAAATAAGAATCACACCTTCAAGAAGGCATAAGAAAAAAACAACCTCCTTATTTAAACATGAGCGATAACCAAAATTTATGAGATTTCATTGGGTTAAAAAATAAAAGCACATCTTAAATAACATTTGCTCAGTAAAGCTGAGTATTTTTATCCACAACCAGTTGTAATAGGCACATAGATGATGATATTAATAAATCAAAGTAACACTAATAAACTGTGCTAATGCTGCCACCGTTAGTGTGTTTCACTATCATGTCAAATAATAGTTCTGCTTTTAAACTATATTATATATTTGAAAGGAATACTGTAATAAACAAATATAGAAGAAATTCTTAGATCTATTGGGATTGGTATTCAATCACTTAATTGAAAATAATCAGATGAAGACGGAAACCAAAAGAAAATTGCCTTATTATTAAAAAGTTTAATTTAAAACACATAAACATGCGTGCAGTGGCCAATGTCTTTGAGTATGAGTCCTAACTAAAATTCTGCACTTTTGCTTTTGTATAAACTACACTCAGAGCATATTCTCTATGATTTCCAAGTTTTTGTTAAAGTGTGCACCAGAAACTCCTGAAACAATTGGAGTACAGAATCTTTTCAGATTTTTCTGAGCTCCCTCAGTGCTTATAGTTGTTTCACCCACACCTAGTTCAATGGTGATTTTATTACCTTGTCAACTGTTTCAATTAACTTAGTTTTCACAGAAACAATTTTTTCTCTCTTCAAACTCATTTCTGAATAGTTTAAGTAATATTTAACTATTGCATAATCATAACAACAGGTACAACTGGTATAAACAAAGCTGGAAGTCAACATACTCACAAACGTGGACGTCGCCCTGAGAAGCATGCTATTAACTGTAAGTGTTTAGGGCACTGGTCACCAGGCACGGTGCTTTACAGAAAGAATAAAGAGCAGCCCTGGTTACATCTGTGGGACTCTGCTGGGCTTACAGAGTTTTCTCCTATTTTCTTTCAAAATACAGTCATGTGTCGCTTAATGATGGGGACAGGTTCTGAGAAATGCGTTGTTAGGTGATTTCATTGTACGAACATCGTAGAATGCACTTACACAAACCTAGATGGTACAGCCACCACACACCGAGGCTGTAAGGAATTAAATCTTATGGGATCACCGTCATACATGTGGCCCATCGTTGAGGAAAATGTCGTTTCGTGGTGCATGATTGTATAAGCAATCACAGGTAGCAGAAAAATACATGGACACATGTATGCACTTAATTGAGAATTTTCAAGTTTTCATACTTATTTTTCAATTTGACTTTTTAGCATCTAACTTTGGTACTTATTACTCGATCTAACATTTTTATTCACCAAACCTGATTCTGAATGTTCTTTTACTTGTTCCAAATAACAAATCTGTCCTCAAAAGACATGTTGTTATTGAAGACCCTGAAAACAACAATGTTCTAACTCCTAAAAGGCTATTCAAAGACATTCCAAAAATGTTCTGAACAATGGCAACAGCATGAAAACACCTGAATTGCATCCTAAGGGGAATATTTTAAAGGTAGACATCTATTTGAATAAGTAAATTCTGACATACTCACTTTACACATTCAAAGTATTGTTTATGTCTATCTTAAATAACCATCTTAATAAGTACTCTAATCTCCTTTACAAAATATACTCTTATAGATGAGGGACTGTGATGAGTGCTCATCAATTACTGCTAATCATGAAGTATGGTTAGGTGCTAATTCTCTTAAAAAATATTTCCAGGGAACCCAGAAAGGGCTGTAAGTTATAATGAGAAGTTACAGAACCACCTCTTTCCATCATTCTCATCACCACCATTACTCCCACCTCACCAGACATATGGCCCATTATTCCATCATCTCACTCTATCCTCCTGCTATCTTTGTGTGAGGCGAGCTGTCACCATCATTCTGTTTTATAGGTGAAGCACAAAGGAGTCTGGCAATTTACCCATGGTTATATGTTTAAGTGATTCAAACAGAATCTGAAGCCAAATCTCTAACTGCAAGTTCTGTGCCTTCTCTAAAGCTGTTTTTTCATAAGTAGAAGAGTTAATTCCCTCAATTTTCAAATATAATCTTCCTTTTAGAGTTGCTGACACGAAAACGAAGTGCTCCTGAAGAATCTAACCCATGTTAGAAACAGCTGCAACGATAAGCTTTCTCAGAGTAAAACTCATTGAAGTAATGACCACTTGCATTCCGAATGACCAAAGGTGAAAGAATAGACCTAACAGGTTCTGCCAGAATCTTCTAGCTGTCCAAGGGCTGCTCCAAGAGGCTGAACTGGTTACATTTAAATCCATTAACACAGCTTTGCTAACCAGGTGAGGAAGGCAACATAGTAAGAACAGCAAAGCTGGTGTAAATGGTTGTCTTCATTACGTCATAACTGTTTTTTCTCACAATTATACTTTGTACTTGCTCATACATATATACACATTTTTCTCCCTTGTTCTCTCAGAGTTCCTTTGATGACCTAGATATTTTAAATATTATTTGTCAGGCTAGGAGATGGGATGATACTAAAATAATCTCATGAGTAAAACTAAATAGTTTAAGACGACACATTGTATACATAAACAATTTTTCTGTAAGGTCTTTAGAATAAAAACGACCCCAACAAACATTTTTTATTCTTATTTAATTCTAAACATACTATAATACCTATTCTGCTTGTGAACAATCTAAATTTAATTTACAAAATTCCACATGGCACACTATGAGGAAACTATTTATGGTGAAAATTCTAAACACTTTGTTACGACCACATTTTTACTACACAGTTTAATATTAAAGTACAGCATAACTTTCCTTCTTTAGCTAAAACAATGACAAGTAAATGTGCAAATTTCAACTTTTTAAAAAAATGAGAATAAAAAAATTACCACTGTGATTCTCCTATAACTCGTGTATATTTCAAATTTAGCCTATACGAAATTGATCTATTATGTACTTGATAACAGAAGATTTTGAGAGGGCAAACAGCCCCTTGTCATGTCAAAATACAAGAGTACTAAAACAACCGTTATATTTCCAGAGTTGTAATATTTTTACTGCATCTCATATGGAAAGTCTGAAAGCTTTATGTTAGGTATGAGACTCACAGGTGTCACATCATCATTTAAAATCCTTATGAAATTGTAAAAATTCTTACTCTAAACCAAAATGCCTACAAAATCTGGGATACAATAAAATTCCTTACCTGTCAGGTTGAAATTTGGCGCAGTCGTGCTGTCAGCGAGGGTAAACCATATTAGACCAAGGCTCATACACACTGCAGCAGACACGTCTACCACGTTATAGCGCTTTCCTGTGTAAAGTAAGTGGACGTCAACCTCATGCAAATACTCTCTCAGCATAGTTTTAGATCTACATGTTTAACCAAGTAGAGCAGGGACCTGCTTTTACACCCGATGACAAAAATACAGGAAGAACACTTCAGTCAAGGCACGGCATAGTCACCAAAGGGGTGCTTCTGAAAATTAAATTACCAATGAGCACCAATGCATCTTTGTAAGTTAGATATGAAATTCTACTTTACCTGTTATGGTAGTGAGTAAATGAACACTGAAAAAGTTTGTAGAAATTAGTGCCTCTTTTACTTTATGTATAACACAAGGCTATGAATTTTCTTATAGTTTCTAAGTTTACAAAGTAACCAGAGTAATTATCAGGCTATATAACTATTTGTTTGTACATACCATAATCAGATAACTTCTAGGTTGGTGACAATTAACTTATCTTAAAATATCCACATTTAAATAATGAAATCATGTAGTGTAATTTTTTGTAAGGAAATATTATATGTGCCCAGCCCGTCACAATGTTAACTGTGATTTTTAATAGGGATTGGGTCAATATTTTTTCCTGTGTGAAGAGTTATTCTGAAGTTATATTTAAGTAGTTGACATACACACTTTCATTTTAAAAGGCTTTTTTGGGGAAGGCATCTAATGCATAAAATGAAGTCAGGCTGTGTCAGAACTTTCATGATATACAGAAACACTTGATTATCAAAACATGACTATTCCTCATGACAGTTATATGAACAGCAGCAACGAAAACTTGTTCCACTGCTTGTTACCATCACTGCCTCCGCTTTCACTCTTTTTTCCACATAGCTTTTAACTTAGTTGGGGCTCTAGGAAGTCAGTAAGCCAGCAGAGCTGGTGAAAAAGCAGCTCTGCCCAGGTTAAGCTTTGCTTCAACATGAGAACTGTCCATTTGTAAAATGGAGGTAGAGAGTGGAAGCCTGAAGAGCAGAAGAATGAAAGAATTGGAAAAAGCAGCTTTGTAGGCACTTGTAAGCTAGGTCTTCAGTATGTGAATACAGCATTTCTAGAAACGTAGCACATTCTAGACTAAATGAATAAAACAAAATACTGTTATTTTTCCCCGATTCCAAATTATTGATTTCAGAGACTGAGGTACATCACAGAAGTATCAGAGTTTTTATAATAGCTTATTTTTATATATCTCAGAATTGTTAGAATATCTAGAATGTTTACTAGAAATGTTAATCAAAGTTTAATGTTTTTCCTAATGCTAGATGCCATAACATATCCTATTAGTTTCAAACAGTAGGAAAATACATCATTACTATACCTTGAATCAAAACTCCTCCTAGCATAACAGGAATCAATTTGCAGCACTTGAAGATGACTTGGGTAGGGTAATTCAGGTAGCCCAAGGAAGTGTTTGATAACCCCATAGTACCCACAGTTAGAAAAGCTATTATCATGTAGGTTTTTCCTGGTATTCTGTAAAAGACAATTTTTAAAATCTTCATTTTGGGACTCAATTCATACTATTGTAAGATAACGTGTTTACAGTGTGTAAATGTCTAGTTACTCTTCTAATTTAATATTTCTAGAAATATTGGTAAAATATCACTATTTTAGAAGTTATAACACTGTTAACTTGTATAAAAGAATGTTGGTAAAAATAAAAATTTACCCTGATTTAATCAATCATAAGCGGGAACTCTCAACTGTGTGAAAGAGTGGCATTTGAGAGTTACTAAGATTCTTACTGAAGGTATAAATGCCAGTAAAAGGTTTTCAACAGCAGGCCTAGCTACATAAAAAATCTTGACTAAATTTAGAAAAAAAGAGTTGATTTTTAAAAAATATTGGCCTCTATTATCGTAAAAGTCACCTAATTTTTAACTTCTAAATTTTTTGTTCTGTTTCCTAACATTTCCATCTAGCATTAGGAAAAATACATGTGTCCATTCTGCTAGAATAACCTGAGCAGAATTTCTCTAGAAAAAGTCCACAGTGGTTTAAACTCTAGATGGGATTTCTATTACCAGAACATCTTATGATTCACCCCAACTCCATATTTTATAAAGTGTTAAACAATCAACTTCACTTGAGGAGTCTCTCTCCTCATGATCCCAAGTCTTTTACTTTGGGTTCTACCTGGATTTCCTAAAGGAGATTCTTAATTTGGCATCTTTAGAATTTTGAGCTATAACTGCAAGCATATGCTCACTTTGACTAGATATTTAATTGTCTAAAAGAATCATCTTGTACACTGGTGTGACTAAGCCAGGAAGCGCTATTCACATAATCAGATTATGTTGCAAACTTACATCTAGTTTCCACTTTGAGATTTGTGTTCATGTTTAAATCAAGGCAACAAAATTCTTCTGTATTTTTTATATGGCTAGATATAAGGTAAAATAATTTACTGGAAAAAATTCAATAAAAATGCATCATTTCCACTTCCATTTGGATTTGGAGGCCTTTCCTACTTAACTACTAATACCGTGGTCAACATTCAAAATCCACATGAAAATAATCTGGCACGACCGTACGCAGCAGTGTACACAAACACTGATTTTTATGCTGTTTGTAGGGTTTAACCCTCAGTGGGAGATCATCAGTAAAGGAGGACAGCACCACTTCTCCAGGTAACGATATAAGTCACAGTAGTCAAGTTTCCTCATAAATGAATGGCAAACAGTGGCCAGAAAATAAAAATTTGTCAGAAAACTCACAAGGAATGATGATTAAAAAAGCAGCATAATACAGGTAGAAAGAAAACCAGCCTGAAACTCAGGAACCCTGAACTCAAGAGGGTCCAACTCTGAGGGTAACCTGCCTCACAAAACTCCCGGCACTCCTCCAGGTCCCCATCTTCCCACTGCTAAAACGAGGAAGTCAGATTTCATCCTCTTGCCTCTCGGATTCTCACTGCTTCTATTTTAATACCCTGATTTCTTACTTCTTTAGATACGGTGGGAAAATTATAACTTTAAAATGTCCCTTTAAAGCCAATTTGACAGATCTCCCTTATTAAAAATTCATATGAATTAATGATAAAGCTACAAAGTGATCTTCGGTGAAAAGGAAGTAGTAGTATATGTAGGTCCTACAGTTTCCAACGTGCTTCATCACACATTACCACAGTTGATCCCCAAAATAAAACTGAGAGAATTTAAGAAACTTCTCTGAAGTTTTGACAGAGCTAATAAGAGGTGGTGACAAGACTCAAATCCATGTTTTCTGACTCCAAACCCTGTACTCTCTCAAGTATACTGGCATTCATATAAAGATAGGGAGCAAAAAGTTAAGCAGAGTTTGGCTAACTAAAGGTCTAAACAGCAGTGCCACTTAAATTCAGGGAGAGGTATATACTCAGAAATACACCCAGAAATATGTGATTGGGCATATTTTTATTGTAACAGACCTTTAAAGACTTTTTCTACAAAAGTTTTTAATGTGCCTTGGAATGGAAAAGTTTGAGTTCATGTTATATTTATTATAGATCTAGAAATTCTGCTACCAAAATCTTTCACTTATGTTTAAATCAAGCACAAATGATTTTATCTTTAAACGTGATGGTCACGTGGTTTAAAGAGGGGATAAACACAGCTTGCGGCCCACTCCCCATCTCGTCTCATCTGCAGAGCTGAGGGGGAGGTGTACCTTCTGAAAGTTAACAGGTCGGAGATGTAGTGTCTTGTGTCACTTTTCATTTAATAAAGACAGCATTCTATTCTTCTACTTTACAAGCAAAGGCCCAGCAGTTTGCACTGGGTAACGAATCACTGGACTTCCTTATATATTAGTCTTAACAGATAGATTTAATTACTTTCTATTCTACCACCTATGGCTGTCTTGTAGAGTCTCAGAGCATGAAAATAATGAAGAAGATATCCTCAGATTCAAATTTTTTTAATATCATCCTTTAATAATTTACTGGCAATAAAGAGAGGTTGAGAGGTAAAATTAGACCTGTGAAGAAACACTGGTGTACAGATTTAAATATTTAAGATTTTAGAGTTACCTTCAGAAAAACATCAAAAACATTCATGTAAGAAAAAAAAAGGTTGATGTGAAAATTTTTTATTTTTATTAAAGGATTAAACATTAATATCAATGAAGACAGAATTTTGGTATTATAGCTCCTTATTACATTTGATCTGCCTAATATATACTAGAAAAATTCACATATTAGGGCCTTATAACAGGATAACCACACATTTACCAAGAAAATGTTACATTCAAATTCCTAACCACCTTCTGTCATAAGAGACTAGGTTTTTTTTTTAAATTTTTTATTGAGATTATGATAGTTTACAACCTTGTGAAATTTCAGTTGTACGTTATTGTTTGTCAGTCATGTTGTAGGTGCACCACTTCACCCTTTGTGCCCATCCCCCACCGCCCCTTTCCCCTGGTAACCCCTAATCTGTTCTCTTTGTCTACATGATTAACTTCCACATATGAGTGGAAGAGACTAGGTTTTTATTGCATATTGTTCTATATGCCATTAAAAATATTCCAAGATATTTCTCAAACCTCAAACAAGTTCTTTTAGTTTTGATAAAAAGGAACATTATGAAATTTCTCTAAGAATGCAAACACAGCTACTGGCCATCACAAACATGACAGCGTTAAGTGGAATATATCCCACAAAACGAAACATTAACTATACATTTTAAAGACCACTATAAAAATAGGTATTGATATTTCATTTTACCACTTTGATATTAGTAGAATTGTAAATCTTTCAGTAATCACACATATTTCAGCGAAATTTATAACACCTATGTACTCATATGTACATCTGACTACCTTCTCCTGCTTTAAGAAGATGTTATTATTACTATTGAGTCTAAACTACAGCTTTTTATTTGATAACATTACATTTAAAGGGAGATCTGTTTTTTCAGTGTATAACGGGAGTATCATTTTTAATGTATTTTGTGTGTGAGTGTGAAGACGACTGGCTCTGAGCTAGCATCTGTTGTCAATCTTTCTCTTTTTGCTTGAGGAAGATTCACCCTGAGCTAACATCTGTGTCAATCTTCCTCTGTTTTGTACAAAGGATGCCACCACAGCATGGCTTGACGAGCAACGTGTAGGCCTGTGCCTCGGATCCAAACCTGTGAACCCTGGGCCACCAAAGCAGAGTGTGCAAACTTAACCACTATGCCACCGGGCCAGCCCCTTTAATATTTTTTAATAGTTGATTACACTGATAAAAATTTTGGGGTATTAGATATGTTTTATTAATGGGAAACCTATATTTCACATATAATATACTCCATATGCCCAAAATATAAAAAAAATTTAACTACTACTAGTAAACTTAACTGTCAAAAAATAAAAACAAACAAACCACATACCTTCTCCTTTTGTCCTGAATAAGCTGAAGTTCTATTAGGCCAAATATGGAGTAAAATGCAAACTGCACTAAAGTAAGGTACCAGCCATAGGACTTAAACCCCTCCATTGAAAATATTAATTCCTGTCAAAAGACACATAAATACTGTTAAGTTCTAGGGGCAGACCAATTTCCTCAAAAAATTCCTATAGCACAACATTTTAAAAGAAGCCAGGCCTCACCCCCGACAACAGCCACCACGACAACAACAAATAAAAAGGAAAAAACACCGAAATCACAAGGCTTCTCATAGGTATAATTAGAGAAGTGAGGAGGCCTTTCCAAAGAACTGACACTAGATTTCCAGGTAGAACCATCAGCAGAAAAACAGAGGGGGAGAGGGATGGCTAGGAAGCCACGTTATCCATGCTTTTCTCTTTTTTTAAAAGACCGAAATTAAGAGTTGCCCAAAACAATGAGAAAGATGGCTGATCGAAGAACTCATTTACTATATAAACAGCACATTTCATTAGAAGTCTCATATTTCAGACCTGTTTATCCACAGAAATACAATCAGTTCAAATCAGTAATACTATTTTTTGGAATACTTGTGTCATAGACTATATAAAACCTGTCCTTGGGGCGGGGGATGGTTACTCTGCCTCAATACAACATTGTATCATGAAGTAACACATTAATTGTCAACAAGCCATTCTTTTTTTTTTAAAGATTGGCACCTGAGCTAACAACTGTGGCCAATCTTCTTTTTTTTCTTCTGCTTTATCTCCCCAAGTCCCCCCTGGTACATAGTTGTATATCTTAGCTGCAGGTCCTTCTAGTTGTGGCAACAACAAGCCACTCTTAACAAGTCATTAAGAGGGAATTCTAATAAAGTTATCTGGTTTAATTGAATAAATTAAACTTCCCCTCAAATATATATTTCAACTGTATTTTAAATAAATTTTGAACCTTATATATATAGCTAACTTCATTACACAACTTCAACCCTTTGCTTTAAACTATTTTAATACGCAGTTATAGGTAACAGCAATGTCACAAAGTGAAAGTGATGCTACAAACATAATCATCAGCAGTTTATCTAATTTTAAAATCAACTTTGCATATATTAGCTATAAATGAAGAGCTCTGATTAATCAAATAGAAAAAATTAATGAAATTTGTAAATTTCAAATTCATTTTCCTTTGCAATGGCTAGCTTTGCTCCCAAGCTATTTGGTAATAATGTTTTTTTTCTTCCCCTGAGGAAGATTCACCCTGAGCTAACATCTGCTGCCAATCTTTCTCTTTTTGTTTGAGGAAGATTCTTCCTGACTAACATCTGTGCAAATCGTCCTCTTATTTTGTATGTGGGTTGCTGCCATAGCCTGGCCACTGATGAGTGGTGGAGGTCCATGGCCAGGAATTGAACCTGGGCCACCGAAGCAGACTGCGCCTACCTTAACCACTAGACCAACAGGCCGGCCCCAGTAAGAATAGCATTTTGAAGGAGAAAAAAAAAAATGATTTTCAACAAGAAATTTCAACCTTTATTTGATTAAGTTTACTATTTTTTATTGTTCTTCATTGTGATATCTGAATTTTTATATCACTTTCGAGTGGAGAAATCAGTTATAATTATAAATATTTTTAACTCGTTTTTGTTTTACACTAATACTCTTCATAGCATGTTTACAAGCTAAGGAATAGTCACAATTCTACCATCTTTTTTTATACTTACTTTTATATTTCATCTCTATAATGGAAAAGAGTACAATAATTTTTAAGATTATTCTAACTGGTTAACACTAAAGAATACCAGAAATATTATCTGTGTTTTAAGAAAACATATCACTTTCCTTTTCTTGAATTATAAAATGCTCTTTCATGTTAGGGAGACGCATAAATAAAGCAAAGTTGGTAATGGCTGAAAATAATCACTAATAAACTGGCCATTAATGGTATTAGTCCCCATTCAAACACCCTGTTTACACGAGCCTGGATCCTCACCTACCCAGCCCATATCTTTGGAGGTCAAGAATTTGTTGCTGGTCAAACATATATAACTATCCCATAATACAATGCAAATATAAGATAAAGTGCAGCAATGTCAGAAAATTTTTGCACAGGCAAAAATCACAGAAAAATAAGGTTTGGGCAAAGTTAGATTAGAAGAGGAAACAAACAAGAATGAGAACACAATAGGTGCTCCAAAAAAAGAATGATTCAAATATTACAGGATTAAAGAGATACCCTTGGAAAAAGATACCTTTGAAAAAATCACCTTTTATTATTGAGCTCCAAGAAGCAAGAATGAACCAGAATACGGCTTTTATGCTATCATTCAGTTTTACTGGAGAATTATATTCCAAAATACCAACCGATACTTGAATCATTCTCTTTTAGAAACTAATATATGGTTGAAATTATTACCTACATTTTATTAAATATTTTAAGTTTTTTCATAATTTTAACTTTTTAAGATTGTCTCTGCTCCTTACCCCCACTTAAACTATTTAACTCTGAAATTTTGAGCTGTTTTCAGCACTTACTTTTAAGAAGCCCTTTTCTACTACTATATTAAAACACTCAAATCTGCAAATAAGTTGGTATCCTATAAAGGAAAATATCTTGGACAAAACTATTAGCAAGTGCTCATATTGACTTCAACTGTTATAAATAATTAAATATTGTAAACAAATAACCATTTTTTACCTGTAAATATCCATAAATTAGGTAAAATACAAAAACTCCAGCAACACATATGAAAAATTGAGTAAGTTTGTTAAATCTGCTGAGATTTATGCCAAGGACTACAATGTCATCTACTGACTTGATGTGTGGTGACATTGTTTGGGTTTTGGACGGGACAGTGATGGAAACATATTTTCTGGAGTTGTTGAACTTGAGATCCATTGTTCCTGTTCTGCTGCATTCAGAGCTTCCAAAGTTATCTTTGCTGGTCTCCTCTCCTTTGTTCAGTCCTTCTTTTGTTTGCTGGGCCAAGTCCTAGAGAAGGAAATAAGCAATTAAAGCAAAATATTTAGATCATAAAGTACTACACCCCAAATATTTCAAATTACACAGGTAATTACACAGGTAAGTCTCATTCTCCCTGGATATTAATATATTAATTCCCCTACTTAAGCTTCTGATCAACCAAAAACAGTACATCTACTCTCCTGTAGATAACATCTCTTCACCTGATAAAGACCAACATACACCACTGACTTAAATATACACCATTCTTATTTCTAGAGCAGCAAATCAGAAGCTAGCCTTGTATTTATTCCATTAAAGCAGCAAATATACCTTTACTATGTTTTTATATGTAGGGAGGATATAATTTTTAAAGCCCACGATAGTTCATGCATAACATCTTCAACATTAAAGTCAATCTTTAACTGCAGAAGAGTAAAGAACTAATGCTCCTTTAAATACTAAGACAATTGTAAAATACATTCGTTAATGACATTTTAAAATAAAGTCAAACAACTCCAAGTTACTTAAAGAGCTAGATTTATCAGAGACTATAGAAAGGATGATATGCTTTACTAATAGCATCCCTTTGGGTAACGAAAATATTTTCTTCTTTTGCAGAAGAATTTTGCACTTTAATTTCAAGTCTTTGGGGAGTTCTTGTTCAATGGGTATAAAGTTTCAGTTACGCAAGATGAATACGTTCTAGAGATGTGCTACATAACATGGTGCCTACAGCTAACAACATGGCGTTCACCATTTAAAAATTTAAGAGGGCAGATCTCACGTTAAGTGTTCTTAACCATACATGCACACACAAAAGGGGACACAAAGAAACTTTTGGAGGTGATAAATATGTTTATTACCTTGATCATGGTGATAGTATCATAGGTGTATGCATATGTCCAAACTCATCAAATTGCGTATATTACACAAGTGTGGTGTTTTTTCTGTATGTCAATGATACCTTAATAAAGCTTTTTTAAAAAAATAAATAAAAAAGTCTTTGGGATTGTAAAAAGCTGGAAAACACATCATTTTTGTTAGTCTGTGAAAAAAATCATGAAAGCTCCATAGATGACTGTCAATTTATTTCTCTTCGGATTTATTTAAACTGAAAAAGGAATTCCACGTAAAGGCGGAAGAACTTTTAACAAGGAACAGAACAAACTTATAAAGGAAAAATTCTCCTCCTAGAAAAGACTCGCTGTCTGTTACAATGCCAGCAGGAACTAAAATTTCGACTCTAGTTGAAGGAAGAGGATAGAGAAGGACGATTCTGATAGTGAACTCTGCTCTGGAAGTCTTTAAAAGAAACTGTCATATGACGGTTTAAAACGGCAAGAGTTAGAGTCACTCTTCCTGTTCCCTCTACTCTGCTGACTCACAGAGATCCGCTTCAGCAATTTAAGCTGGGAGTCAAGGCCCTGAATACGACTTGTAACGAACAACACTCAGCTATCAAAGAACATTTGTTTTACGGGGTACCTGCCATATTTCCCCACAGAAAATATGTAATTTTAAGAAGTTTTACTGTATTTCTTTTCCTTTACCTGTTTCTTCTTTATACATTGTTCTTGCTTCCGCTACTACCTTTCAATCATTGTCATCTCTGAGCAAGACTTCCTAAGTCATCTTGTAGGATACCCTTGAGATTTGACTTTTTTTATAAACCATGCTTGAAATGATATTCCCTAAACGTTGTCTGCGAATGTAGAACAAAAAACTTAGCAACTATTTTCCATATGTGTAGGCATGGATACAGAGTGCCACGCAAATAAATCTGAAGCCTCCTCTCCCTCCACTTCTTTCAGTCCAGCGCTAAACCGCCCACAGCAGACTACTACTCCACTCCTGACACACACCATGGACTCTCAAACACCTGTGCCTTTTGCTCATGTTCTTTCAGCCTGACATCTTTTTGCTTTGGCTCAGGATCTGAAGACGAGCTTTAACATTCCCTCCTTCGTGACACCCTTCCTAATTCCCCCAGTTGGGAGGGAAGAGAAGTGGAAAGGCAAGACTCAAATCTTATTTGTGTCTACGTCTTTGCTATCTGGCCTACCCTGCACCTAGCATTCCAGGGAACCAAATAAACTGGTCCTTCTTCTGGATGCCCTCAAACCTCAGCATGCAATCACTCACCCTCTGCCTGAATAAGATCTTTCAAACATACTGTGGTGTTGGCAAACCTTGTGGGCAAAACTAAAAATCTTATATTAAACAGAGGTTGGGAGAAAAGTACTAATAATTATTATATATTTATACACACAGAGAGAATAAATAAAACTTCTACAAGACCTTTCTTTCCTGCTTTTATTGGTATTAAAATTTCTCCTGGAATCACCTTCTGCTGAGATGTCTGTAATTTAGTGAAATGCCTGGCATACTGTAATGACTCAATAAAATTACAGCTAATATTATGAGAAAGCAGCACAGCATGATGTTTTCTCCATGCTTTGGAATTTTGACAGATCTGAGTTCAAGACCTGGCTTTATGACTTATTAGCTGAGGAGCCTCGGGCAAATTATTTCTGAACTTTAAGTTCTGTATCTTTCATACGGAGGTAAAAAATGTACCGATCATAGAACTTTTGTTGGGACTATATGAAATAAATGTAAAAGTGCCTGGTACTCCATAAACGTAAGCTATCATTATTCTACTCTTTGGAAACATTGCTAAGGTGACATGGTGTGCTGAAGCAGATTCACCCCTCGGATGTGCAGGTGGAAATATGAATCTGGATTTCCGACCCAGACTTCTCATCTGAGATCCACATCTACATTTCAAATGCTTCTTTGACGTTTCTACTCATGAGATCCACCAGCACCTCATTTTAAAAGTGTCCAAAGCTGAACTCATTATTTTCCCCTTAAAACAAACCTGCTCTTCTTCCTATATCCTCAATCTCACTTAAGAGTATCTACTAGGAAACACAAGCTAAAAGCCCAGAAATTATTTTCGACTCTTTCCTTTTCCTCGTATTCTACATTTAGCCAAGATTCCTCTTGACTCTACATCCACAAATATACCCAAAGTCTGTTTCTGACACTACCATCGAGCAGCCACTTTCTCTTGCCTAGATTACTGGACTGTTAATAATCTCTCCTTCCCTTTCTGATCCATCTTTCACACTGCTCAACGTGGATTCTGACCATGGTGTACCTCTCATTAAGGTCCTATAAATTACATGTTGGTCGATCCTCTGGACTCTCATAGCACTTTATACATATTTTTATAAATACCTAAATCATAATGGTATATCTTTTTTGTTTTTATGTCTGCTACTCCTACAAGCTTATGAAATCCTTAAGGGAAGAGACATCATCTTCATGTGATGTTCTAGAACATAACAAAAAGTGTAAGATATTAAATGACTCTATTGTACTTTAGTAAACACCATTTAATCAAAAGTATTCTGCTCCTTTCCAACACTTTCCCATTTCTAACACACTTATGAGGCAATCTTATGAGCCACAAACCTGTGCTAGACATGTGGAGTTAAGCCAAAATACTGACATCTCTCCTGAGATTTACCACAAAGCATCTGAAGTGAACATGAAAATAAATTCATTTCCTTTGCTTACTTGAGGCACCTGCACCAGAAAACCTGACCTTTAAAGCCTTGCATTTAGAATGCAGTTTTAGGAATCAGAACATCACTGGTCAGATGAAGCGAGTGATGAAGGAAGACACTGTGAGCTCTGATACCTAATAACTGGGATCCCGCATGTTTGCCATATCCCTTCCTTTGGATACGTTAATAACTGATATTACCATCTGAAAAAACTGGGCCAATGTCCTTGTACTGCAAGAAAAAAAATAAGGCACAGAATTAAAATTAACTTTCAAACTAAATGATCAACATTTTGCTTTGCTTTAGAAGTTCATAGAAACCCCTGAAACCAATACACAAAAAACCCACAGGTGTGACTCACTGCCTGCGGCCTCTTCCTAAAGTCAATAGAGATATTTAACTTTAATTACTTGAAGGTACAAATAACTGCTAAGATGGAATAAAAAGGTAGCATTTCTAGCACATAGTGAAATTTAAAAATTATAAATAACTTGTGATAACAATTTACAATCACCTAATGAAGTCAAAATGATTTCAGTTAATTTCTTAATCTAGTCTCTTCCAACCTTCAGAAAAAAAGTCTCCCACTACAAAAAGGTGAGATATGAGAAAAACATGTCATTACAGTGTGAGTAACCTGAAAAAACTTGATTCCCTATTTTGTCACATTCAACATTACAAATAATATTTCTATTATACCTAGATTAACTGGACTCTGGATATTAATCATAACCTATGGAGTATGATTATAAAACAGAAAAACAAGATTCTGGCCTATTTCTTTGTACATACTTCATTACACAAAGTTCAAGAAACTCTTTGCTAATTTTTAAAGGTTACTCCTTTTTTTCTAAGGGAGAAAACTAAAATTAGGATTTAATATCTATAATAAGAAATTAAGTACAAATAACACATCTCAATTATTTCCAAACGCTGCTGTCTCTCCCTTCCAAGTCCCAAACTATCCCAATTCACTTAGAAAAATGTTTATCCAAAAAACAATTCTAAAGGTCTGATATTCTACTATAGAAAAAATGCCTATGACCAACAGTAAAAAACAAACAAACAAAAAACACAAAACTTCTGTTAGCACACCAAATCATTCCGCCTTCAATTTTTGTTTAAAAGAAAAATAAAAAGGTGCGTGAGAGAATTAAACAGCAAAGACTGGAGGAATTTGCAGAACTTCTAGTGGAAGTCTATGACATAAATTTAACAACCTGGCGAGAACAATCACCTTGCAGTGCAAATCAAACGGACAGCAGAGAACCAGAGTACGCTAGCTAATGCAAAACCCGGAAGTACTCAACTAAAATGCAGTCTCGGTGAACCTGACAATTCTCCACAGGTTAGGCGGCCTAAAAGACCCCCTGAAAGTGGCCTCATGCCTGCGGGTCCACAGACGGGAGCCTGAGGGAATTTGAGCCAGCCGGGGGGCGGAAAGGGGGAGAGGAAAAGCAGATGCTCCTCCCTAGAAACCGTGCCAGCAGGTTCCCGTCCTTTAAAAAAGAAAGTCACCGGTGCCCTCCATCCCGACCTCATCCTCTCCCCGCATGCTCGCTATGGAGAGGAAGATGAGCACTGTCACCGTTCTCTGGGGAGAGGGAGTCTGGGTCCCAAACACGGCGAAGGGCCCAAGGGACAGACACATCCATTCCAGAGCCGGTGTGTCACCTGGAAGGGTGACCTCAGCCTGGATGGCGCCTCAGCCAGACGCAGCGTCTCCCCCTCCCCAGCCGCGTCGCCATCACCTCCTGGTGCTTCTCCTCTTCGCCCACTCCTCCACTTTCCACCACAGCGGCCGCCTCCTCGCAGGATACTCGCATCCCCGGCGCCCGCGCGCCACTTCCGCCTATGTGTCCCCATGCGCGTGCGCAGTTGCACAGCGCCGCCCACTCGCCGGCCTCCGGCCGCGGGTGGTGTTTGCTCGGTTACCCCTCGCGCATGCTCTGTGCCCTTGAGGATGCTGCAACAGCGCGGCCGAGGTGGGCGCCGCGGTGCGAGGACCGCGCATCTCTGCCTGCTAACGCTGGCGTAGGCACGGCGGGCGCCGTCGGGTCTAATGTTCTCACCCTCCTGTTGGGGCCCCCTTGTTCCTGAGCCTGTGAGCTTCTGCAGCCCCCCGGGTTCCGGCGGCCGGGTACTCCCCAGTCCCTTGTGCCGGGTGGACGCCCACGCCCCCGGGGGAGACCTTCACGTGAAAGGCCCTGCTCTGAAGTTTGAGAACGAGGCCAAGTGGAGAATGTTGAACCTGACGTACAAACCCTTGCGGTTCTCTCTTCCCTCTACTAGATCCAAATGAGAGGGATCAGTCGCCTTACCTTCCTCTGCTTCTGCGTCTCGCCCGCCTCATACCTGCTTTCCGGTGTAGGTGGGCTGAAGGAACACTTGGGTTTCCTCTGACGTTATAATTCAGCTTGTAGCTACAGCAACCCCGGTCTTTGCAACATGACGAAAGTGTCTCCAGCCTTGTTTTGACAGTGCCACTTAACTGCTCAGAATGTAAATCCCATAGCTTGACCAGCCATCAAAACTCCCAAACATTTACCCTGCATCTAGGACAACATCTACAGTTGTGATGATGTAAAGACCAAGATAGGATAGGTGATGAGTCGCTTTTAGGTAACACAAATTGATATGGAAGGCAGAGATGACTATAAGGAAGCTGGAACATTTCTGAGTGCATGCTTTGGCTACCCAGAAAGGAAGAGTTGGATTTATATACATTAGAATCCAGTCGGTCAAGTACAGCTCTTAAAATTTCACAGACGTTTTACAGCAAGGGCAACATCTGTGTTTTGTTTTGGATGTGAGGGTTTATACTGAAGCACAGCAGACAGCTCCTGCTGGAAGTGGTGGGTCTGGCTGAGCATTTTCATTTGATCCTTACCAACCTGGTTAGGTTGATGTTATCAGCATTTCACAAATGTGGAAACTAAGGCTCAGCGAATTTAAATTTCATAAAGAAATAGTAAATGACAAAGTCTTTCGATAATGCCATACTGTTAGCTGAATAACGTGCATTTAATACTACTGTTAGACATTTAAACGACAGTTATTTATCAGGCACCTATTAAATAGCCATATGCATAGGTCATATGCGTAATCCAAAGATTAGAAGTATGAGCTCCCTGCCCTCCAGGAGTTTTGGATTCACATGAAAAGGTAGATGTCAGTATAAAACAACTCATCATACAAGAGGCGTTTTAAGGTACCATTCACTCATGCCTGGATAATTGCAGTAACCTTCTAACAGGTCGTCTTCCTCCTTATTTCTTTACATCTGAAATTCATTCAGCAGCTGGAATGATCCTTTCAGAACTTTTAGATCGTTTTAGAACTGTAAGAGAATATAGCATTCCTCTGCTCAGAACTTTTAATGGTTTACCCTGTTACTCAGATTGAAGTTCAAAACCCTTACCGTGGCTTCTAAGAAAGATCTTGACAGCTACTATTCAAAGCCCATCTAACCCTCTCCAAGCATACCAAGCATCAGCACTCTGGACTCACTGTTCTTTCTGCACGGAACACTGCTCTCCCAGATGTCCATGGGATGTGCTACCTCACTCTGTTTGGGTCACTGCTCAAATGTAACGTGATCAGACAGTTCTTCCCTGACTACCCTATCTAGGAGAGCTGACTCTCCCACATACGCACACTGTCCTCACTTGGCTTTACTTGTCTTCGTGGCAGTTATGATGACTTCCCACATATTTGTTGTTTATGTCTCCCCCACCTTTCTTGCCCCTTTGGAACATTTGTTCCATGAGAGCGGGTTTTGTCTCTCTTATTCACAGCTGTATTGCCATCATCTAGAACAGAGATGCTGACACGTAGTCTGCACTCAATAAATACTTGGTGAATGAATGACTGAGATTTAAGTGATAAAGGAGTGTTAAGATAATAGTGTGGAAATTCAGAAGAAGTAAAATATTGGCTGGAGTGGTTTATGAAAGCTTCCTTTGGAAGGCAGAACCTAAATGATGAGGAAGATTCAAATTGCAGGGGAGATGGTTTGGAATGGGGAAATGGGGAGGGAAGGGTGGTCCAAGCAGAGTCAACCAAAATAAACAGAGCCATTAGACAAGTCAGTTATCAGATCTACAGTAATGCTAATATACCGACCTCTAAAAGTATAACTAAAATGGGAAAACTGCTAATAGCTGATCTATGAAAATTCACCTCACCTCACCAAGTGCTAGTTTATCATTTTCCTCTTTACCAGCAAATCCCATCCTTCCATAGATTGTGTCTATCAACTACTGTCAATTCCACACTGACTGGCAAATATATTTAGAAAGTAGTTGAAATTGGTTTTGAACTATGAAAAAGAAAACAATACTAAAAATAACATAGAATTAAATGTTTAAATAAAGTGTAAGTTCCATGCACATTTTAAGATTTCTCATGGACATGAAGGACAAATAAAATAATAGGGCATAAAAAAAAAACAGCTGGATTAAATGTCCCTGTAATTCTCTCTGGAAGTCCAGAGGTATTTCTTATGTACAAAGAAAAAAAATCAAAGTTTTACTTTCTAAAATTATCCCAATTTCAACTATGACAGTGCTTCATTATAAAGTTATGTTTATTTAAATCTTTGTCACAAGGGTTTAAACCACTTTTTAAAATGCAAACTTATTTTTGTTACTATAATTAGATAAGTGGGGACTAGTCATTAATAATTTTCATAAATCTAGTCATAAAGATCAGCATGACTTTTGACCCTTTTTGATAATCAAAGATTATCAAAAGATAAGATATATTATATTATGTTATAAGATAAGATTATAATATAAGATTATATATTATATTATATTATAAAGATAAGAAATATTATATTATTATTATAGGAAATGATCTTTAGAAATCCAGGGTAATTTTTGTATTAGTTCAAATAAGACGTAGTTTAATATAATATTATAATTTTTTTTAGTGTAAGGTCAATGTTATGGGCTGAATTGTGTCCCCCTCAACATTTGTATGTTGAAATCCTAGCCCCTAGGACCTCAGGATGTGACTGTGCTTAGAAATAGGGTCTTTAAAGGAGTGATTAAGTTAAAATGAGGTGATGAGGGTGAGCCTAATCCAGTATGACTGGTGTCCTCGTAAAGAGAGGAAATGTGGG